TCTATTAGCATTATACAATTTACATTCTACAGCTACACAACAATAAAGGCAGAAGGTCACCAACCATAGTAAGGAAACACAAATTCATGAGGCTTATTAATTTCCTTGATTGATGCCATGTAGTAGAATCCAGCTTTTTCATAGTCCCCCTATTGTTAGAAGAAAGAATATTGCTGCTGTCAGTAACTTTGTAAAGTTAAAATTAACACAGAATAAAAGCATGATAATCAGCCTACTAAAGTCACAGCAATGGTAATGTGCCAAGAAGAAAAGAGAAATAAAAGTTCATAAGGAAGAGAAGTAATGAGAAAATCAAGAAGTGGTCACATTATCAAGGTGAACCACCACATTATAGTTGGATGAAGTGTAACCATGAATAAAGAATAAGGTCTAGATGCATAAAGATGCCACTTAGAGAGTATGATTTATTTCGAATCAATTCCACCTACTTTTATTTTGAAGTTAAATAATTCATATGCATTCCCTGTTTTGCCAGAAAGAATGCAAGATAATATTTTTTAGTCTTTCCAAAATTTTCATTGGAGAAGGACCATTAAATAGAAGATATTATTCGAACCTTGCTATGGTAGGATCGTGCTAGATTGTAATATGAATGTGCCTTTGTTGGTCCATGATTGGTGACAGCAAGAGCTGTTTCAGTCAGTTGCTCAACTAGAAAGTGCTGACCAGTAAAGAAAAAGTGATTTGCTAGATAATTTAATGCCATTGCACAATAGGGGTATATCTCGAAAGCTCTCTGCATTTTTTCCATTCCTCTCCTAATCCCAGCAGCTGCAGAGATAAAATACAGGAAAAGAGTCAGATGACGATGACTAAAACAAGAAATTGTTATTGACCAATAAATAAGTTCCAATGCCATAAATAGTATTCAAACACAAAAAAGGCATACCATCATTTGCTTGCAAATCTATAATAGCCAGAGCAACAAGAGCTTCAACATTTTCTGGGTCTATCTGCATATGTAGAGTTGTGAACCACAGAGGAGCATCAGGAATAAACTTTATTCAAATGCAGTGATGGTTAAAGTAGTTGAATTAGTATAATTTAATACACTAACAACTAAAGAGAACCCAATGATCATTTCAAAATGAATACATTATATATGCATTCTCAAGTTAATAACACTTGCCTGCAAAACCCGCTGAAATGCATTCCGAGCTTTTTCAAATTGACCCAATTTATATCGACAAAGACCAATTCCAAGTCTTACAGCTCCAGGACAATCAGGATACACTTGCAAAGCCCTCTTAGAAAAGTCAAACAAAGTTGTATTCATATCTGAGGAGATTCTAGGAGAGGACTTTTAACAAATCTTTACCACTTAATATCTATGAAACAAATGCCTCTGATTGAAGAGGCATTAAATGCTACAAATCTACATATAATGAGATGAAAACAACATACCTTATATAATTCCAATGAATCAGAATAATGTCCACGATTGAACTCAACACAAGCCTGCAAAAAAAATATCTAGAACATTATTTAAAAAAAGAAATGAAGCAAGCTCAGACACATATTAACCCATGCCCTAAAT